GAGTAAATAAAAAGGTAATTACTAGGGAGCCAAGATGCGACTGAACAATTACCAATTCCTAATATTTGTTATTTCTTTTCTTTGATTTGTTTCTTTTCATCAGAAATTGCGCTCAAATTAAATGCAAATACAGAAAACGTGCCCAATAAAAAAAAAAAAATGTGATTAGTATTGCCATAATACAACCCTGCTGCGAGGTTGCAAAATGTAGACGCGTAAAAAACATACCTTTGACTGTGACAAAATGTAGACGGCGTCGTTTTCCAATTTTTTATGGGAAACAACAACACCACAGATTTTACGGTTAGAAAACGTCTTAAAATGTAGACGTCTACATTTTGAGACACTATTTGGAACGAACTGTGACCACCCCAATTGTGACGAAGTGAAGGCTCCCAAAGTTAAGTAAAAATTTCAATTGAAGTGACAGCGGCAGCACTGGTACTTGGTTCAAAAGTATCGATACATAAAGTATCGCGTATTTACTTGTATTTACTCTTATCATTTCATACCTACTTGCAAGTTATTTGGCTTTTCTGAAATTTCTTGCTGTTTTCTATTTGATAAACATGGACTTCTAATAGCCCGAACACAATGAAAACGACGAGCTACGGACTACAGCTGTCAAATTATTTTAACACGTACTCTTATGTAGATAATTATTTTGGCGACGACCGGGCTACGCGACGGCTGTGGTTGTAGCCAGATTAGATCTATTTCTATTTTTCCGGTGACAGATAAGGTTCTTCCTCTTCTTTTATGTCAAACTCATACAAATTCATGATGTCGCTGCCGGGTTCAAAAAAATCATGTCGCCATCGACAAAGCGTTTAGATAATGAATGAAGATAACAAAGTGGAAGCTGTAGCCCGTAGCTCGTCGTTTTCTATGTGTTCAGAACTTAATATTGAATCATGGACTTCGACGATACCTTTGATTTAATAATAATTATATTATTACTAAATGAGGCCCGTAAATGCCTTGACGTAATATTGAGTAGTCGAACTTCTCATGATCAGGAAGTGTACACAAGGCCGAAAAGAATAGTTAACTTTACCAGAAATGTTAAAAGTGCTGAAAGGGATGTCGAAAGGGATATTGCTGTGTTTAATCAGTATTTTGATAAAATATGTAATAAAGATGAAGAAGTGTTCAATGATATGGTGAATATGTCAAAAGAAGTCTTTGATCTACTCTTTAACTTAGTCAAACAGGACTTAACTAAGCATTCGAATCGTCCATCTATTACACCAAAATGTAGATTATTTGTAACCCTTGTGTAAGTAATAAATTATATGTATGTATATTTCATACCTTCAGTAATTCTTTTATGTAATAATTTTAACACAGATACCTGGCAAATGGAGGCTCCAGAAGAATGCTGGCGTCTGCTTTCGAATTGGGACTGTCCACGGTGCAAAAGATTGTGATCGAAACATGTCAGGTTGTTTGGAGCTCATTATCTCTTACATATCTGCCCATTGAGCAGGCTCCAGACTGGATTGCGCTGTCACAGCAGTTTGAATCGAAATGGAATTTGCCCAACTGCTTGGGAGCAATAGACATAAAAACCATTATATTAAAATGCCCTAACAAAGATATTCCAAATTTGTACGACAAAAAGGGAAAATATTCTATTGCAATGCTTGGTGCTTGTGATGCCAATTATACCTTCACTGGTGTAGATGTTGCGGTGTTTGGGTACAAAGAAGATAATGTAGTTTGGAATACCGGGTTTGCAGAAAAACTATTTGCAGGCAGATTAAACTTGCCGGAAGATAACATTCTTCCAAATAGCAACATAGAATTTCCGTATTATTTCGTGGGCGACACATTAAGTCCTCTAAAAAATCACATAATGAGACTATATCCAGGTAAGCAGTAATTTTATGCGTTAGATGTTTACGCCTAAAAATCTTGTAGAAGCAAATACCCATAAGATAGATTCCAAAACTATAGAAAACCTTAAATCTTCAGATCGTACTATGTCATGTCGTCAGCGTTACGCATTTTCCAAAATATTTCAAATGAGAATTATATTTGTTTCGTTCCTGATTTAATTTTTCATTGAATTATTTTGAATTGCTACTTTACTTAAATTAAATGATTAGTGTCTAGTTGTTGTTATAAAAGCGCCTACAAAAACCCCGCCCAGATCGGTTAGTCCCTCAATCGTTGTCGTCAAGCTCTACTAACGGCAGCTCTAGGAAGCGTGCAGCCTCGACGGGGTCTGTCCATAGGGACAGGGGCGTTAGCGTGGTGGATTTAGAGGGCATACGAAGAGATGCTGTGAGTCATGGGGCGACTCTCCGCATGCCGGGCATTGATTGAGGATATCTTCGTTTAATCTGCTCAGGTTGGAGTTCAACCTGCTGTAGTAACCAGATCGCAGTTGGGAAGTTCTGTTAAAGGCCTGGCGGTAAGCTGTCGGGTCCAGAGGTTGTTTAATGAACCTCGTCCAAGTGGTAAAAAGTGTGGATGAGGATTTTGTAGGGGAGAGGGTTAGGCTCCGTGCAGTGAAGAAGCGAAAAAGCTCGGCGAGATAACCGTTTACACACACAAGTCATCAGTTCCATTCCCGGACGCCATGATCAAGCAATCCTCAGCATAAGAGACAATCGAGACTCCCTCTGGTGGTTGGGGGAGCTTTGAAATGTAAAAGTTAAACAGTAATGCGGATAGGCACCACTCTGTGGAACCCCCTATTTTATTTTCCTCGGTTTGCTCGATTTGTTTCTAAAAGTTACTGACGAGATAACTCTCACTCAGATAATTCGCCGACCACCGTTTGAGTCCCTGTGGGAGAGAGGAGGCCTCTATGTCTTCTAGTAGCGTTGAATGGCTGACAGTGTTGAACGCCTTTGACAGGTCCAGCGCTACTAGAATGGTTCTGCCACAGGGGCGTTTTCGGTTTAGGCCACGAGTTATCTGGGTATTTATGGCGTTTAGTGCTGTTCTTGTGCTGTGCACTTTACGGAATCCATGCGGATGCTTCGCTGGGGTCAGGTGGTTTAATGTCTAGTGTAGATGTTCGGGTGAACCTAAGGAAATTCTCAGTTGGGTCTACGGAATGATGTATGATGGGAAATTGTATTATGTTAAAACAAAACA